ATCCCCCTATACACCCCTCCCCCAAACCCCCCATCCCCAAAAATTTCTCAGCGGATTTGGGATGTACTCGGCAAGCGCAGTACATCTTCCAACTCAGATCTGAAAACAAATTAGTGGATGGTTCTTTTCTGACTGGTCGGCAGACCGCCGACCGGTCGGCGCTACTGGTCGGCTGCAATACGTTCGGCGGTCGGCAGGGATGCAACCATGCACACAACCATGAAGAAAAAGGGCGCACTTTGCGAAGCAAAAGGCAAGGATTTAAAAACAAAACAAACATGAGGGGCACTGGAACCATTTATTTTTATCATTCTTTCCCCCTTCACTATGCCTCTCACATACAAGGCTCGCCACGTTGATGAAGTCTAGCGTGAGCTGCCCATATCTACCTGTCCCATAACGACCCACTTGTACGCTGTGAGAAAGAGGCAGAGTAAAGGGGGAGGTGATAAACACGGGAAAGAGAGATGAAGATAAGACGAACAATGAACCAGAAGGGAAAGTAAGGGAAAGTACGGAGTGTGGAATGAAGATGAAGGCAAAGGAGAGGATGAGAAAAGCTCAAGAGTGAGTCTGTCCTTGACGACAGAGAGGACACAAATTGCAAGGATGAGGTGGGTGCGCACATGGAAGACCTAGCTGAGCATTATCAGCACAACAATTGCCACGACAGCTGGCATTGAGCATGAGCACCATACACTGCCGACAAATGGCATGTCGATTGCCTGAAGGAAGAACGCTCACCACAGAAGACGATGCATTGGCCGCAAAATGGACGTATAGTGTCCGGATGCAGAGGGTGCCTACAGTCAGGAGCGGAGGGACAGTCCTCTACACACATGGATGCAGAAACCATCTGATTGTAGTGATTGTGAAAGAGACAATGGCGGCCACAGCTGAGTGTAACAGTGTCTGTAGCTATGCAAAGGAGAAGGTCGCAGAGTGTTGGTACATTGTCCTGCTGGAGCACAGGGCCAGAGGAATGATCTGTGACATAAAAGAGATTGGGACTGTTTAGTGAGGCAAGAAAACAGCATCATTATGTAAGACGTCAGTAACATCAGTCATGGCATGGACCATGATGCCGTTGTCCCACAGCTCCCAGTGGTCAGATGCATGTACAATGGCCATGTAATGGGCAGGTCCGAGAGAGAGAGAGAGAGAGAACTAGTCACAGAGAGAGATCACAAATAAGACAGATGGGGAGAAAATCAAGAGTATGTCATTCTACTCATGCGCAGTGGAAGGACTGCCGGTCTCTACTGCTGTGATTGGCTGAGGACACCTCTCTCACTCATTAGTTCTGCATTTTTGACTACCTAATGTTTAAGTCTGTGTCTTCATAAATGAAACGAGTACTCGTAAACTACCACCTCGCATACATCAATGAACATTCACGTGAGAAGCCAAACCGAGATACAATCAACACATGAAGTTGTTGTCTCCAAAATTATTAGCAATATACAAGTGTTGTCTCCAGGGCTCTGCCGCGCACACACACTCAACCAGATAGCAGTTATGGCTTCTCCCTCTTCTCTCTCTCTCTCCCTCTCTTGGTCTTGCTTCTCTCTCTGACTTGGCTCGCGCTGCCTCTCTCTCTCTCTCTCTCTCTCTCTCTCTCTCTCTCTCTCTCTCTCTCTCTCTCTCTCTCTCTCTCTC